GTCTAATGAAGTCAACGCTCCGTCCCCCTCGTGCTCTGTTCCAAAGTCCCAAAATCTTTCAGCTCGAGTTACAAAACCATTTTCAGGGCCTAGAAGACTGCAATGAAGTGGACGATATGAATGACAAGCTCGTGGAAACTGTCCATGCGGTCGGAGATAAGTTCTGCAAGACCCGCCGCAGAAGAACACAAAAACTCTCCGATCACACTCATAATCTCATGGCTGTTAGACGAGAGATGAAGCTACATTCTCCAAAATCTTTGCCAGAGATCTGTCTGCCAGAAAGAGCCAACTGTCAAAGCTGAAGACCGAGTGTGGCAGCATCGTTTCCGGGGCACCTGAGATTTTGAGTGAGATTGAGAGGTTCTATGGGCAGCTGTTCACGTCAATGTTGAAGTCACACGCAAGTGTGAGTAACGATCCAAGAGTGAGTCTTATCCGACACTATTCCGAAGATATCCCGAACATCAGTGTGAGCGAGATTAGAATGGCTCTTCAGCACCTTAAAAATGGCAAGTCCCCGGGCGAGGGTGAAATTACACACAATTATCCTCCATGGTGGCATTACACCGGAGGCGTCGAGCAAAAGTGCGGTGGTTTTGTTCTTCAAGAAAGGTGACAACGCTCTCTTAAAGAACTACAGACCGATTTCCCTTCTGAGCCGCGTCTACGTGCTGTTTTTGAGAGTTATTACGAATCGTCTCGCGCGCAGACTTGACGACTTCCAGCCTCCCGAACAAGCCGGTTTCCGAAAGGGCTTTAGCACCATAGACCACGTACATACCCTTCGGCAAATTGTACAGAAGTGCGAAGAGTACAATTTGCCACTATGTCTGGCGTATGTGGACTATGAGAAAGCCTTTGATTCCGTCGAAATTTGGGTGGTGCTGCAGTCCCTTCAGCGGCGCCAAGTTGACTGTCGGTATATCGAAGTGTTGAAGTGCTTGTACAGTAGGGCTGCGATGGCTATCCGAGTACAGAACCAGAGTACGAAACCTATCCATTTGCAGAGAGGTGTAAGACAGGGTGATGTCATATCCCCGAAACTCTTCACCGCTGCATTGGAAGACGTTTTCAAGCATCTGGACTGGAAAGGATACGGTATCAACATCAATGCCCAGTACATCACTCACCTTCGATTTGCCGACGATATAGTCCTTATGGCAGAATCGCTGGAGGACCTAAGCACTATGCTCAATGACCTCAATAGTGTTTCCCAACGTATAGGTCTTAAGATGAACATGGACAAAACAAAGATCATGTTTAATGTCCATGTCACACCTATGCCGGTAGTTGTTGGGAGCACTAAGCTCGAAGTTGTTGACGAGTATGTTTACCTGGGAGAAATAGTCTGACTAGGTAAGTCCAACTTCGACCGAGAGGTCAATCGACGGATTCAACTCGGCTGGGCAGCGTTCGGGAAGCTACGACACATCTTCTCGTCAGACATATCTCAAAACCTTAAAACGAAATTGTACAACCAGTGCGTGTTGCCAGTGATAACTTACGGAACTGAGACGTGGTTCTTCACTGCTGGCCGTATGAGGAAGCTCAAGGTTGCTCAACGAGCTATGGAGAGGGCTATGCTCGGAGTTTCTCTGCGTGATAAACTTAGGAATGAGGATATCCGCAGTAGAACCAGAGAAACCGACATAGCCCAACGGATTAGTAAGCTGAAGTGGCAGTGGGCCGGCCATATAGCTCGAAGAACCGACAACCGATGGGGAAGAAAGGTTCTCGAGTGGCAGCCTCGTACCGGTAGGCGAAGTGTAGGGCGTCCCCCCACGAGATGGAGTGACGACCTGGTAAGACATGCAGGAAGTCGATGGATGCAGGTGGCTCAGGACCGTGCTTTGTGGCATTCTTCGGGGGAGGCCTATGTTCAGCAGTGGACTTGTGAAGGGCTGTAATGATGATGATGATGTACATAAATTAATTTTTCCTAAATACACTAAGAGGCCAAAGTTAATAAATTTTTTCTTTAAAATTTTCACTTAGAAATTCCCTTAGATCTAAGTTATAAATTGTTCTTATGGCTCGCTTCTGCAAAACAAAGATAGTTTAATTCTAAATGGCATTACCCCTTAGCAAGATTCTGCATGACATTATGCTATGGAAATAACTAAAATAAGTTAATCTAGTTGTTTCAATACTACATGTATATTATATAGGCATCTAATCTTTTTACAGCATATGGTGCAGAACTGAGTTTGCTAGCTGGTCTAGATATATTATGTGAAGGCAGCATATACGCTTCGCATCAACTGCAATTCCGAGAAAACAAAGGATTCAACAAGGACCCCCCATTTTTCACTTGTTTAAATTTCAGTGTGGTGAATTTAATACATTTGTTTTTATTACAAATTATTGACGTTAAACCAGTATGCTACTATTGTTGTACCATTATTCACATCGTAATATTTCAAATAATTGCCTTTTAAGTCGTATTAATAAATTTTAAGAAAATAAAACTATATCATCGTTGTTCCTTACCAAGAAAGGTAAGCTATTAATATTAACGAAGAACATCAAGGGGCCTAGAATTTAGCCCTCAGCAACACCCGTAGATATTACCAATCCAAAAAGACTGCTAAGATTAATAACTACTGTTTGCGTTCTATTACCCTGATATGATTTGAGTGCTTCCTGATTAATGTCTTATGGTGAAGGCAGTTGAAGGCCTTGGAAAGATTACAAAATATATCCAAAGCATCTTCTAAATTCTCCCATGTACAGAAAATATGTTTAATCAGCTCAACACCGGCGTCAATTGTCGGGGTACCCCTGTAAAACCAAAATCATTTTTACGGAGTTATTTATTTACACTAAAGATACTTAACATGTGATCTAGAATATTTTTTGTAATTTTACTGAGCGTCGGCAGTAAAGAAATAGGTATTAAATTAGTGGGGTCTAAAGTGCTACCAGATGTAAATTAAGGTTTAACTTTACTATCTTTCATTAAATCTGGAAACACATCAGATTCGATACTGGCATTGAAAATAATAGCAATTTGGATACAATTGTATATATTATAGACGCAATAACTTTAACAGAAATCTGGTGATAAATCTGCTGTTTTATTAATATATATATAGTTTTGAAATATGTTACAATATTACCTGATAATATGATTTGAAATGCAAATTCTTTTCACAGAGATTTATATTTTGTTTTAATAATGACTCGGCGACAGCAGGGGAGAAATTGAGCGACTTTCTAGTCAAGATCGAAGTGTCGGTAAAATATTTTTAGAGCTGTATAATCGATCCAAATTAAGTTCTTTGACAGCCTCAAATTTTGATAACGATGACCGCAACTGTGATTTAGATTTTGGTAATATCCCTTTACCGCCTATTAAAAGTCCACAACTGAACATAGGTTTCCCCCATAAATTGCCTCGCAGATTCGATATTTGCCATAGTTGTTACATTTTATTTTTTATTTTAGTTGATATTAGAAAGACGCTGTTGCCCATATCATTATTTGTTTGACCACTGCCGACCAATGGCAGTACTGAAGATACTCGTACCCTCTGCATTTAATCGGTAGGCGACTACATTAGCCAATTAAAATCGTTAAACTTTATGTGTTTACATGGTAGACAACCCTACCAGCCAACCAAGACTGATATATTCTGTGTATGCAAGCGACTATATCAGCCAACTGTGGCCGATACACCCTGTGTGTGTAAGTGGCAAGCAACTCCATCATCCAAATGAAGCAGATACACCTTGCATGAATATGCGATATACCCCATAACCGAATAATGTTATTGTTCACTACGATATCAGAATATCACATTTGGGCCTCAATATATCAAAAGTATTGTGTCATGTTCCTATCCGAATAATTCTCAGTGAATAGCTTCAGTATATACACATTGCTCCAAGAATTATATTATGAGTGTGTATTCGAGTAACTGGTATTATTAACTTGTGTGTGTTCCTAGTATTTACGGAGTGAATATCACATATTCATTAAAACTATTTTTGTTTTTGTGTGCATTGTACATTACATTTTCATATATGTATTGAGAGACTAAGTTAATACTAATTTGATAAAAGGATGGCCGACTGTTAAAAATGTAATTTAATTTTAAGAATCGAGTGACTTTTGGTAGTCTGGCAACGGGATCGAATCTAGTGAGATTAAATAATATTTCCTTTATTTAAGATCAAGTTTTCTTTATTATAAGGATATATAAAATGAGTAATAGAAAAAAAATTAAATACCGATGTTAAGATTGTTAAGATTAAGTCAGATGACCACTAGATGGCGTTGTACTGTTTTAAATCGCGGTATGGTTGTAGTGTTCAAGCCTACATGTAAGAACATGGTTTCGATAAAATAAATAACCTTAGCATATCTCTGAGTACTTGGATTTATTTCAATACCTATACCTCGAGTGTGTGTGTACCACAAGGGAGTGATCAAAGTCTATTCATGGTCCTTCGAATCGGATTCTCCCTCGCTACGGGCAGTGGATCGCTGTCGCAAACGTGGTGATCTACAGGGGTCAATAGGTTGACCTCGGACGGCGCTTGGCTGCAGTGACGTCAGTGCGTGTCAGGATACGTCATCACGGAGCGAAGCCACCCCTGTTGCGGAAAGCGGTTGCAGTTGGTAGAATTGCGGCGGTACGGCGAGGCAAGTAAAATTACAAGTGAGGCAAGTTGTGTCTGTGTGGTGAAAATCGTGAGTAATTTTGAACCTTATTACCAGGAAGACTATAATTTGAAAAAATAAAAATTCGTGATCATTATTTGGACTTTAAAATTAAATTAAACTTAGAGTAAATTTCCATACTTAGTTAAGACTTAGAATAATTTCGATAAAAACGTTAATACGGGGAACCTATGTCCAATTTTTAAGAGGCTTTGTAAACTTTAAAGACAGAAAATTTGAGTACCTTACAACTTAGAAAATTTTGGTGTCTTTACTTAGAACGTTTTGCTGTTTGAACTTACAAACTTGTAGTTTTGTTTAATTACTTAAAAATGGAAGCGTTGTTAAACTTTCTAATTGAACTATATGAGCGCATTATTAAGGCGCAAACTAACTTCAAAAAGAGCCCAAAAGATCGAATTACTAAACAGTATTTAGAGGGAAGATTAGAATTAATCGAGCAAACGTGGTTCGAATTTTTATCTGGTCATAAGGAGCTAAAGCGTAATTCAGATCAAAAATTATTACTAGGTACTAATTATGTAAAGGAAGATATTTATGATAAGGCTGAAGAGTGTTATTTGAATTATAAATGTGACATGAAAACATCTTTAGAAAGGTTTAATAGTGAAAATGCACCTTGTACTTCAGAAAGTAACTATGTTCAATCGAATGTAAAGTCATCGTCACACATAAAGTTACCAAAAATTAATATACCTAACTTTTCTGGGAAATACCCTGAGTGGACAGCATTTAGAGATTTGTATACTGCGCTTATTCATTCGAATCAAGATTTAAGTAAGGTTCAAAAGTTACATTATTTAAAAAGTTATTTGACGGGTGAGGCAGAACAATATTTAAGGCATATTCCTATTGCGAACGAAAATTACGATAGATGTTGGAAATTACTCGAGGACAGATATAATAACAAAAAATATATTTGTCATTTAACATTGAAAAGAATGTTTAGCCAGAAAAATATACTAAATGAATCAGCCAGTGGTCTCAAGGATTTAATCGATACCACTAATGATTGTCTCGCTTCTTTGACCAATATAGGAGTTGACGTAGGAAGTTGGGACGTTATTATTATACACATTTTAACTCTTAAGTTGGACCCGGAAACTAAAAGACAGTGGGAATTTCAAGTTAGCAATAACAGCTCGGCAGATGAATTGCCAACATATGCCAATTTCAAAGAGTTTTTAACAAATAGATATCGCGCTATGGAATTTTTGGATTCCGGATCCAACTTAGTTAAAAAAAGTCAGGCTCAAAGTAGTCCTCATGTAAATAAAATGAAAACCTTACATGTAACTAATGTTAAATGTTTGTATTGTTCGGAAGCACACGCACTTGCATTTTGTAAAGAGTTTTCTAAGGAAACTGTGGACGCGCGTGGAAAATTCGTAGAAAGTAATAAAGCATGCTTTAATTGTTTGGGTAGCAATCATTCTGCCAAGTTTTGCCGTACCAACGTAAGGTGTCACGTTTGCAAAAGGAAACACCATTCACTTTTGCACCCTAGTGGGAAAGCTATTTCTAAGACCATCGAGGATAGGGAACAGGGCGTGTCAGAAGAAGAAATTGCAGCTTCTTCGCAACAAGTAGGTGATTCAAAGGTTCAAGAAACGTCAGTCTCTTGTTTTTCTTCAGGCAGAGTTTACAATCAGGCTCTTCTAGCAACTGCACTTGTAAGAGTCAAGTCTAAAACAAGTAGCAACACAGTGCGAGCTCTACTTGATCAGGGCTCGCAATGTTCTTTCATAACGGAGTCAACCGTACAGCGCTTGGGATTGAGAAAAACTCAGATTTTAGGACAAATATCCGGATTGGGCGAACACGAGACAACTTCCAAGGCTATGGTTATTATAGAACTTCAATCACGAGTTGACTCTAACTTTAGAATTAAAGTAGAAGCCTTTGTTTTGAAGACAATAACGGCTCCGTTACCAACATGCAAGATCGACCCATCAAGTTGGATTGAACTTGAAGGCCTAGTCTTGGCTGATCCAGAGTATCATACTCCAAGTCATATCGATATGTTACTAGGAGTAGGTATTTACAATCAGATACTTCTGGAAGGAATAAAAAGGAGTCCAGAGGGAGAGCTATTAGCTCAGGCTACGTCGTTAGGTTGGATACTCTCTGGACAAATTACCATGACTGCACAGTCAGCACACAAAATAAAGGTCTTGCATTGTTGTTCAAATGATAATGATCTTCTCAAAAGGTTTTGGGAACTGGAGGCAGAACCTGAAATAAAAAAGGAGAAAATGTTCACTGATGAAGAGAAACGTTGTAAAGAAATATTCAATAAAACAACTACGAGAGATGATGAAGGCAGGTATATAGTCCGACTTCCTTTGAAGAACGATCCTCCGCAGGTAGACGGCTCCAAAGAGATATCTGAAAGGAGATTTTATACATTAGAAAATAAATTTAATAAAAATAAAAACCTAAAGGACAAATATACAGAAGTAATGAAAGAGTACATAGATCTGAATCACATGGAGTTAGTACAGAAGGTACATTTGGATAATCCGTTGGCAATCTACTTGCCTCATCACGCGGTAATACGAGAGGACAAAGACACGACGAAAGTCAGAGTAGTATATGATGCTTCTTGTAAAGGAAAAAATAACATGTCTCTCAATGATAATCTCCTTATAGGACCTACCTTACAGCCAGAACTGCGACATTTGGTCATGCGATGGCGTATTCCGCCCATCTGTCTCACTGCTGATATTGGAAAAATGTATCGGCAAGTGAAGATTTCCGATTTAGATGTGGATTTTCAGAGGATTATCTGGAGAGATAATGTTGAAACGGAAATGAAACATTATAGAATGCTGAGGGTGACATTTGGAACTGCCTCTGCGCCTTACCTGGCAGTTAAAGCGTTGCAGCAGTTGGCTCTCGATGAAGGTGATAGTTATCCTATGGCAGCTAAACGAGTTTTAACAGATTATTACATGGATGACTTATTAACAGGATGCCAAACTAAGGAAAAAGGATTGAGGATATTTCATGAAATGAATGAATTATTAAGTAAAGGAGGATTTGAGTTAATGAAATGGACAAGTAATTGCGAGGAATTAGTAGAATCTATGAAAGGGGAAAAAGGAAAAGGGGATGTTCAGGAAGGATTAAAAATTAAATCAGATGAAACTTTGAAAATAGTTGGACTCACCTGGGACCGTAGTGAAGACTCCTTTCGCTACGCTGTCAATCTCCCGAAGCTGGAACAACCTGTAACTAAAAGAAAAATAATTAGTGACATTTCACGCTTTTATGACCCACTGGGCTGGGTAGGGCCCAGTATCATAAAATCAAAAGTAATAATTCAAAGGCTGTGGTTAGCAGGGATTGAATGGGATGAAGCGGTACCAAAAAGTATACTGGATGAGTGGCTTGCTTACCGAGAAGAGCTGAAACTGTTAGAGACGATAAACATACCAAGATGGGTCCACACTAATGTTGACGATTCAGTTGAATTGCACGGCCTTTGCGATGCCTCTAATAGTGCATACGCAGCGGTTATTTACATCCGTGTGATCGACTCCAGTGGGGCGATTAACGTATCTCTGTTAACTGCAAAAACAAAGGTCGCACCGGTGAAACAAGTATCTATCCCTAGGTTAGAGCTTTGTGGGGCTGTATTATTATCACGACTCATATTGGAAACGGCAAGAGTGCTAGGCATTGAAAAACGTAACATACGAGCATGGACAGATTCTACAGTGGTTCTCGCGTGGATTAATAACCATCCAAGTAGATGGAAAGTTTTTGTCGCAAATCGTGTATCAGAGATTCAGTCTAATTTGGATTCTCATAATTGGTCGCATATTAGCTCTAAAGAAAATGCTGCTGATGCTGCATCTAGAGGACTATCTCCTCAAGAATTGGTAAAAAATAGCATATGGTTCAACGGTCCTGACTTTTTGAGAAACAAAACTATCAATTATGAGAAGCCCAAAGAAGTAACTACAAATTTGGAAAAGGTTAAATCGCATTGTGCTGTTGTAGAAGATGGTATATGGGAGAGGTTTTCATCTTTGACGAGGATGAAAAGAGTAATAGCCTACTGTAAACGTTTTATAAATAATTTAAGTTCAGAACCTAACAAGAGAAAGAGAGGCTATCTGACCACGCAAGAACTAACTGAAGCACATAATGTATGCATTAAGCAGTATCAAGCAATTCATTTTAAAGAAGAGATCTTGTTGGTAAAACAAAAGAGTAACTTACCTAAAGGTAGTAAACTCCGTTCGTTGAACCCAGTGATGGATGCTGATGAAATCCTAAGAGTAGGTGGGAGATTGGAGCTTTCTGGCTTGAGTCGCAACCAGAAACATCCTATCCTAATACCCAAGAAGTGCCATTTAACCAACTTAATTATTGCGGATGCCCACAAGAATACACTTCATGGAGGTCCCCAGTTGATGATCTGCTATATCCAGGTAAAATACTGGATCTTGGGAGCAAAACAGTCGGTCAGGTCTTATTTCCGAAAATGTTTGACATGCGCCAAAAATTCCCCCAATACTCAGACGCAACTAATGGGCCAGTTACCAGCAGCGAGAGTGACTCCAATACGTCCATTCAAATGTAGTGGTGTGGATTATGCGGGTCCTATCCAGATACGGACAGCAAAAGGACGAGGACATAAATCTCACAAGGGGTATATATGCCTCTTTGTTTGCATGGCAACCAAGGCCATACACCTTGAAGTAGTCACTGATCTCAGTTCTCAAGGGTTCTTGCAGGCGTTTAAGCGATTCGTCTCCAGACGTGGTCATTGCTCTGATTTATGGAGTGACAATGCAACTAATTTCACTGGAGCAGCCAACGAGCTAAAACGACTTTTCCTAACCGAAAACGGATCGATGCTACAGGAAGTAGCTGAATCAGTGGCTAATAACGACTGCAACTGGCATTTCATCCCTGCCCGGTCACCTAATTTTGGTGGTTTATGGGAGGCGGGGGTGAAATCAGTCAAGTACCACTTAAAACGTGTGATAGGACAATCGACTTTGACATATGAGGAGATGTCAACTGTTCTAGCACAAGTGGAGGCTTGTCTTAATTCCAGACCGCTGTCAGTTATCGGAGGTGACTCCGACGATATCATGGTCTTAACTCCGGGTCATTTCCTAGTGGGAGAGCCTATTGTGACTCCGCCAGACCAAAATTACGAATCTCACACTGTTAGTTCCTTAAGAAGGTGGCAGTTCACCCAAAGAATGTTGCAGGACTTTTGGAAAAAATGGTCTCAGGAATACCTTACCAAGTTTTTGCACCGTTATAAGTGGTCATCAGTGCAACCTCAGCCCAAGGTGGGTGACGTTGTTTTAGTAAAAGAGGACGGATTACCACCCTGCCGATGGCTATATGGCAGAGTGATTGAAACTCATCCTGGAAAGGACAATTTGGTCAGAGTAATAACGTTAAAAACAAAAAATGGAACATTTAAGCGTCCGATTTCCAAAGTGTGTCTGCTTCCGATTGCGACTGAATAATGTTAAATAATATTATAAGTGTTTAACTAGATTAGAATATAGATTTAGAATACGTTGTTAAGTTTAAGATTGATCCTCAACGTGTATTGTGAAAGGATTTTCATGTGAAATTATAGATTAATAGAAAAGCCATTTGTGTAGTTGTTAAAGGACAAATGTCATATTTGTCCTTGGTGGGCGATTATGTCAAGATTGTTAAGATTAAGTCAGATGACCACTAGATGGCGTTGTACTGTTTTAAATCGCGGTATGGTTGTAGTGTTCAAGCCTACATGTAAGAACATGGTTTCGATAAAATAAATAACCTTAGCATATCTCTGAGTACTTGGATTTATTTCAATACCTATACCTCGAGTGTGTGTGTACCACAAGGGAGTGATCAAAGTTTATTCAACCGATATAAAATAAAAATATGCATAAAAGGATGCAAGCAAAATACAATAAATTATTTTTGAAATTACTTTTACTTTCGACATAACTATATAACATATTTGTATTTTACGGAAGGTGTTATAAACTAAATTATTCTAAAGAAAAATCAGATTGAAACTTTTAATAATTGCATTCAACTATATTTCAAATAAAGCTATAATACTAAGCTGGTAAGCTCAGTATCAGGGCTCAAAAGAGAAGGTGCCTTTGTGCTGACAATAAGTGTCAAAATCCGTCCTTTGTACTTTCTAACAATATTATCCCTTATATAATAAGTAATGGAGCCAAATTTTATGAAGTTTCTAAGAATTTTCTCAATAATGGTTTATGTCATTGCGTCTTAAATTGTAATATTATATACTTATTTTTCAAAACATTATTATAGGTTATATTTTTATCCAACAATCTATGTAAAGACGCAATTAAGCTGATACAACACAACAAAGTTTGAAAAAAAAAGATTAAATTCTCTTATTATTAATTATACAATCACGCTTTCAACTTTTGAAGTATACCTGACGAGAAGATGTGTCGTAATTTCCCGAACGCTGACCAGCCGAGTTGAATCCGTCGATTGCCATATCAGTCGAATTTGGACTTACCAAGTCGAACTATTTGTCCCAGGTAACAGTATAACTAAAAAAAAACTTCGAGCTTAGTGTTCGCAACAACTACCGGCATAGGTGTGACATGGACGTTACACATGATCTTTGTTTTGTCCATTTTCACCTTAAGACCTATCCGTTGGGAGGCACTGTTTAGGTCATTGAACATAGTGCTTCGGTCCTTCAGCGATTAGGCCGTAAGGGCTATATCGTCGGCAAATCGAAGGTGAGTGATGTATTAGCCATTGATGTGAATACTGTAACCTTTCGCTTAATGCAGCTAGTTTTAGGTCATTTTCAATGGAGTTGAAATAAAATTTTCACTTATTCAAGTGCATTTTATAAGTTGGTCGACTATTACTCGTTAACTTTTTAATTTTACTTAGCTGTGATATATTTCCTTTTAACTACATTATATATTCCAATTATGTATACTACATTTCACATTTTTTAAGATTTTATTTCACAGTTTTCTAGGCGTGATTATGCCAAATTACAGATTTGTAGCACCTAGGGTCGCTCAACAAAACTGCAGACGGACGGACGGAAGGGCGGATATGGTCAAACTATAACGATTTCTTGTTGTGTAACTACGGAATCTCAAAAAAAGACTGGATTAGAGCTAGAGCTATAGTACGCGCTTATGGAAGTCACTGAAGTTCATTGTGTGCCTGGGTGATAGAACCTCAATATATTTCTGCCATGCAAAATATATGTCAAATAATATTATCAGCAACATATATAAATTAAAACTTTATTGAAATTACGTAAATTATAAAGACAAAATTGTACTTGTCAACCTATCTGCCATGACCTTGGGACCGCCATAGATGTCTGCCAATGTTATTTTCAGTAAATTTTATTGAATATTTCAATATGTCAAAGCGGCAGACTTATCACTTTCATAATTTTTTTGGTCATTTTACACCTTTCACACATGAGCGTCTCTATGTCAACCGCCGGTCAAACTAAAGAGTTCCCATTTCATGTACCTCAGGTATAGGGGATTGACTGAAAAAAAAACATGAAGCTTGTTGAAATACCGTAAGTCTGCCGCTCACTGGGTCTTAAACTATGTAATATATGATGACGCGTCTATATACTGTAGCGGAGTGTCATATCTATGGTGGCGTGATAGAATTGTGGGTATATCGAGAAACCTCCGCTCGTTTGTGCAATAATTTAACTATAGGCGCTGTGCACGGGAGATTTTGCCCAAGTCATTCGGTATCGTGGTTCTGTCTGTTGTACTCATTCTCCTTGTGCAGGCAAAGAAGATCGTGTTGCTGAGAGGCTGCCCTTTTCTTAATTCATCTTAATTACATTAAGATGGATAGTGATACTTTTGGCTTGTATAATTTGGTGTTAACATATAATTACGTCGCTCAAGTTACAATATTGTGTAATTGTGACGGGGAGATATTACGGTAAGGTCAAACTATATTTACTCTTTTGTAGATGTAGACTTTTGTAAATGCGTTGTCACCCGTGAGGACTAAGATGAAACGCCTCTATTCCAGTAAAACGGGTCTCCAGTTCTCTACACTTACCATACGAAACACAGCAGTGTTAAGCTGCTATTTTACGCTGGTATTCTGTGAGAGCGTGGTCCTTCCCCGGTCGAGCCGACCCATTCGTGCTACAACTATACTACTATTATAGCTGCAGCATGGCTCTACCACGTAACTAGGTTGACAATGTTGTAATTTTTAAATACCCCCGTGAAATGCTTTTACAGCAAACGAATGTTTATATTCACACATCATATAATTAAATACAAATTAAACAAATCAAAATAACAGTTATTTAAGTAAACAAAGTCAAAACAAAATTATTAAATTAAATATTTAAATTATTAGTAAATAGAAATTATTTGACATTATACTATTATTGATCCTTAAGAAAATTATTAAGAGTACATTAAATTTTTTTATGCAAGATAAAGTTGTGACCAGAATTAAGAAAGGAATGCTTCGGTGGGTTGGTCATGTAGAAAGAATGAACAAGGAAAAATTGACAAAGCAAATTTATGTTGCAGAAGTGAACGGCAGAGTCGGGAAGGTACGCCACAGACGAAGGTTTATCGACCAAATCGGTGATACATTGAAAATGGGCCAGATTAGAAGTACCTTTAACCGACGAGCGTGAATGCGTAGATATATGGATGTAAAGGAGGCGAGAAAGGTGTGTCAGGATCGCGCCAAATGGAAGTCCATAGTCACTGCCTATCCCTCTGGGTGACAGGCGTGAGTGTTTGTATTTGTGGGTGTGTGTGTTAAAAAATTTTATGTAATCAGGTAATTTATTATATAATTTAGAGACCACTTCAACAACATTTTTTTATAAGGGCAGTTTTACATACATTTCTCTGGATTTATTGTTTCCGAGGACGAAGGTTCAGGAAGGAAAAACTAAGCCGTTATGGTGTCAGAGGTAATGTACTGAACTTAATAAAATGTTATTTAACAGATAGAACACAAAAATATGTAATCAGTCAGATTTGTATCTCTACATCATCATCATCATTACAGCCTTTCATAAGTCCACTGCTGAACATAGGCCTCCCCCAAGGAATGCCACAAAGCACGGTCCTGAGCCACTTGCATCCATCGACTTCCTGCATGTCTTACCAGGTCGTCACTCCATCTCGTGGGGGGTCGCCCTACACTTCGCCTACCGGTACGAGGCTGCCACACAAGAACCTTTCTTCCTCATCGGTTGTCGGTTCTTCGAGCTATATGGCCGTCCCACTGCCTCTTCAGCTTACTAATCCGTTGGGCTATGTCGGTTACTCTGGTTCTACTGCGGATATACTCATTTCTAAGTTAATCACGCAGAGAAACCCCGAGCATAGATAGCCCTCTACATAGCACGCTGAGCGCCCTTAAGCTTCCTCATACGGCCAGCAGTGAAGGACCACGTCTCAGATCCGTTAGTCATCACTGGAATCACGCACTGGTTGTACAGTTTCGTTTTAAGGTTTTGAGGTATGTCTGACGAGAAGATGTGTCGTAGTTTCCCGAACGCTGCCCAGCCGAGTTGAATACGTCGATTGACCTCTCGGTCGAAGTTGGACTTACCTAGTCGGACTATTTGTCCCAGGTAAACATACTCGTCAATAACTTCGAGCTTAGTGCTCCCAACAACTACCGGCATAGGTGTGACATGGATATTAAACATGATCTTTGTTTTGTCCATGTTTATCCTAAGACCTATCCGTTGGGAAATACTATTGAGGTCATTGAGCATAGTGCTTAGGTCCTCCAGCGATTCTGCCATAAAGACTATATCGTCGGCAAATCAACGGTGAGTGATGTACTCGCTATTGATGTTAATACCGTATCATTTCCAGTCCAGAAGCTTGAAAACGTCTTCCAATGCAGCGGTGAAGAGTTTCGGGGATAAAACGTCACCCTGTCTTACACCTCTCTGCAATTGGATAGGTTTCGTACTCTGGTTCTGTACTCGTATAGCCATCGTAGCCCTACTGTAAAAGCACTTCAGCACTTCGATATACCGACAGTCAACTTGGTACTCTGAAGGGACTTCAGCAACACCCAAATTTCGACGGAATCAAAGACTTAATCATAGTACATGTACGCCAGACATGGTGGCAAATTGTAATCCGGACTTCTGTACAATTTGCTGAAGGGTATGTATCTGGTCTATGGTGCTAAAGTCCTTTCGGAAACCGGCTTGTTCGGGAGGCTGGAAGTCGTCGAGTCTGCGCGCGAAACGATTCGTAACGACTCTCTAAAACAGCACGTAGACTCTGCTCAGACTCATTAGAAGCAACCCATAGGATTGATCCTATGGGGTTCTCGAGAAATTCTGCAAAGCGATTATAAGTTTTCTTTTAGATCGGCGTATCAATGTCGTAGAAGATGGTGCATACTCCAACTACGAGCCTATTGATGCTAGTGTACGCTGTTTGTTTTGTATATCATTTAAATGTTGCTGTTA